AGAGAAGTTTTCTTACAATTACTGGGTTTTTTTGCTGAGTCTAAAAACTTTAATTTTATTGTTATATCTGTGAATTAAAACTCTAATGATATATGTTTACTAAAAAAGAGGACATGAAAATAAATAATAAGATATTCATTCCTCCTCCTAAGCCACTGCAGCCACTGTAGCAGTACTAATTAAAGTGCTTATTCATACATATTGCTGAGTGCTGTCTTGGTATCTCGGTAGAGATCCACCAGGCCACTACATTTGTGCATGTATTGCCATCCTAAGAGGGAATAGCTGCTGAAATTGTGGTGAAATTCTGAGGAAGCTTATGTCCTTTCTTCATCACATGTAGGAGTGAAGGAGTCTGTTATGGGACTTGGCTGTGCTGTAATTTATTGTGCCGCTTTCCCTCTAAAGCCACAAATCTTGAGGAATTTGGAAAGGCGGAGAGCTGAGTAGGAGAGAGGTAGTTTCCAAAGAATGGTTTTGTTTTGAATAAAGGAAGTTCTACCTCTGTTTGTACATAAGTATTTCTTATATCTGCATGTCTTGAATTTCCATATAGGTGTGAACCTAATCACAGTAATGCACAGTGATAAAAGTTACCTCAGTTGTCATTCTGTGTAATTGGAAATTGAACTTAGTCTGTACTTAATCTACAGAAGTGTAGGGCCCATTCCTCATTATATGCATGTTATTTTTGTTAGTGTTTTGGATATGCACAAGAAAGTTTATGGATGCATGGGTTCGTTCATATGAACTTTAAATACTGGACTCTTTTTTCTTCCAGAACCTCTAAGTTATCAGATTGCCCTGAAAAGATTGTAATTTCCATGACATCTTTCTAGAACCTAAAAAGGATGAACCTGCTTATACATATTTCCTTCCATGTCCAAAATAGGCATTTTACTGCAATGATGGTTGGGCATGGGGGAAAATTGTTTGTTTGTTTGTTTGTTTGTTTGTTTCACAGATGGCAAGACATGATCTTACTTTGAAGTTTTGTTTTTTTGCAAATTAATCTACGTGATTTTTGGGAATCTGCAAACATGTCAAAATGAAAATTATGGGGATATTAATAATGCCATGAATGTAGCATTTATAGTCAGTTAAGTATTAAAATGACCAGTAGCCAAAGGGAATGGACACTGAGAATTAAACAATAGTGATGCTGATCTAATGAAATCTATATTTTGCCATGTTGAAAGACCGTGGCTTATGGAAAACTTACTTTCACTCTTTTCTAACTTTTTTTTTTTTCTGAGTGAAAAAGATCACAAGCTAAAATGTACCTTAGGGAACGTTTTTTTTCCAGACCACTTAATTACTTGAAAAGATAATCTGAGTAACATTTGATCAAATTTTTCATTAGAACTCCCTTTAAATTTTTCATTAGCTTTATAATTAAATGAATTTGTACAGTCATCAGTCTGTTTACAGCATCTTGCTTTCTAAAGGGCTGTACCCTAACCCCGACTCTGTCATTGCTTTCGAGATTATCACACTGAGTAGGGTAAAGCGAGCATCCTTGTCTTGGTGACTGGGACATCCATTTCTCTATAACATCAGACTAATAGATGCATTTCCTTAGGTAAAAGGAAAATGGGTTTCCTGCTCCAAGTCTTATTTGAATTTTCATTTCATTTGATTAAGGTGGGGAGGAGTGCAAATTAAACAAAAGAATTGAAAATGAAATTAGAAAGATGTGTTGCTGAAACTCCACTGACAAGAGAACCTGACGTGATTTCACCACGAATAATGCTTTCAGACTTTATAGGGCAGGCTGCAGTTTGAATGGATGATATCTTAGGTTTTGTAAAGCTAAAAGACTTATCTGTTTTTTTTTAAAGGCAGTCAGATAAGAGAATCTAAAGTTATGTCAAACAAATTACATTTTAGTTATTAGTGGCTAGTTTGTAAATATCAAAGACCCACTTATTGTAGTGCTTGGAGCTGCATTTGCATGCTGATGAAATGCAAGTGGATGGCTGTGAACTGTAGGGTTATCTCTAGTGGAGCAGTGGGGAGCTCCAGAATCAGAGAGTTGAGCATCTGACTGACTCAAGAGCCCAAGCTGCAGACCTCTTCTATTCACTTTCTTCACAACAATTAAAATATGCAAAGTGATAATTTTCCTTAAGTAGCCTTAAATGTGCGATCTATTTAAATGTGAAGAAAATTGCCTGAAGCTTCTGGTGTGAGGGACAAAAAAGAATAAATTATGCAAATAGCAGAAAAGGACTCTACCACTTGAACGCCTAATTTTCCTGTAATAAGCATACTGTTTCATTTAATTTTTTGCCTCTTATTAAAAGTGACAGTTCTTTTGCACTGTCTGATGGTTATATCTGACACAAGCTAGGGAAATGACTGCTAGACTAAATGCTAAAGCATTTTGGTAGCTTTTTTAGATGATGGTTACATTCACAAAGTAATTATGCACTGAAGAGTCGAGAAATAAGGTTTAATTACACAGTAATCGCTTCTGATGGACACGGCAGAAGTGTGAACACCACCAGACTGCAATCCATCAATGACAAACCCCTGGCCACTTTTAATTCCTCCTCATTTGCATCATAACCTCCGCACCAAGTTGCACAAATGCTGTTAAATGTTAATAGGAGCTGTCTCTCCACTCAAAATGAATGCTTAAGCTGTTTCATTTTTTTTTCTCCTCCACCTCAGACCTTCAAAACCAGCTCCTCTCTGAGAGCAGGCATTAAGCACAGAGCATGGTGCGTGGTCACTGTTGTGCTAATTGGGAGCAACACTTAAAGTTTTATCTCTCAAGCGCTAATAATGCACAGTGCTGACAAACCAGTGAATAAGTAATGTACTTGGATGAGGAGGGGGGGCAGCCCAGCATGCCTGGAATGAAAAATGCAGTTGGGACTGTTGTTCAGTGACTAGCTATTTGATTAGGCCCTGTAGTCATATTTAATCCAGACCCTTGGGGAGCATAGACAAAATTACATCTTCATCTCATCAAACATTCAGCCATATTTAAGCATTCAGCTGATCAAGCTTTTATTGTTTCTCTTGCAGCTACACAGACACAATGATGTCCTGTGTTCTTCACTCCATAACCCTGCAAAGCTAAGCCTAAACTAGCTGTGCTCCTTTTTTTTTTCCCTCATTTTTTCCCTGTCAGACACACAGGGAGTATAGTGCAGCTCTCATATCCTGCTTTGGCTACTGTGCCATGGGTAGGGATTCGCATTGGCTTTGCCACCCGTGTTTGTTTCTATTTTCAGCCTTTTTTTTTTTTTTTTTTTTTTTTTTTTTTTTTTTTAATCAGAGTTCTCATCGTTTTCTAGAACAGGTCTAAATNGGATTCGCATTGGCTTTGCCACCCGTGTTTGTTTTTTTTTTCAGCCTTTTTTTTTTTTTTTTTTTTTTTTTTTGTGCCAGCTACTCAGAGTTCTCATCGTTTTCTAGAACAGGTCTAAATCATTAAACTGCACAGTGTTCTTTTTCTGTTAACAGCAGGTATCATTTTTGTCCTGACAAGAGGAGGCTCCACCTGCCGACTGCCCACCAACGCATCCAGCTGTCTGCTTTGCAGAACGGGCAAGGTAATTTGTAAGCAGTCTGGGAAGTTTAACAGTAGAGTCTAAGAAGTGACAAAAAAAGAGCCTTTTTCTGCATGAAGATTGAGAATTATCAACACCTTTCAGTGCATAATAGCTAAGCCTTTATCACTTCAGGAGCTGCTGATAAGGTTAAGAACACCAGACAAACTGCTCATTAGTGGAAAGGTTTGCCTTTTACATTAAAGACTGCTGGGTACTGAAGTTCCTCCAGCGAGCAATACATCCCTGGCATTTGAGAAGAACGAGCTAATCATTGTACATAAATGAATATGGAAAAGAAAACCTGGCAGGTTCTGATGATATTAGCAAGGTTTCCCTCCACCTTCCTGGCCTGAATTGTAGGCACCTGAAATTGCCAACAGCAGCAGTTGAGGACACTGTGAGTGGGCAAAGTGTTCTCCATGACACAGGGTAAGGCCATGGACAAAGGCTGACTTCTGGGCCTGTCCACGCCATCTGCAGAGGTTGCTGGCTGCCCTTGAGCACTCTTTGCTTTGTCTGGAGCCTGGAACTGTGGCTGTGTGGGGACACGTGTGTCCCAGTCCGCCTGGAGCACAGGTGGGTGTTCTGCTGCCTGTTTGACCTGAGCAGCCCTTCTAGGCTTGAGTTGAGCCGGGATTTGCCAGCACCCATCACGGGCGTTGCACAGCAGCTGCCACAGCAGGGCAGGTCACAGCAGCGCTCCAGGGGAGTGAGGGACTGTCCCTCTGCACCAGGAGCGCTGCTCTGCTCCTCTGCACCGCCTGCCAGCTGCAGCCTCTGGCCACCACCAACCTGCTCAAAGCAAGGCGCTCTCACTGTGAACTTATTGACATCTACTTTGTGCAGTGCCACCACTGAGCTACATGAACCACACCATTTGGGGTAATTTAAAAGATGGAAAAGTAATATTTAATGGCAAGGCAGTGTTTACTTCATTCTCCAGAATTCCTCAATTCATGTAACTTTTCACCCTCCACCATCTGGAGACCACAAAGCAAGAGAACAACTTAGACTTTCCTGGGGCTTAGTGGTAGATAACATACAAAAATGTCAAAATTAATTCTCACACAAAACTGCTTCACAACAAAAAGACAAGCTGAACTGAGTTGGGGAAGGCAACAAGGCAGTAAGTAAAATTTTAGAAAAGTATTAAACATATTAAGGATGGTGAGGTCTTTTACAGAAGATAAATGAAATGAATAGCCCTTGCTGCAGCTCAGAACCCTTTCACCACATGGCTAATGGTGTAGCTCCAGTCACTAGTGAACATAGTCCTGTGAATCAAAGCTTACTCTGTTGAATTACCAGCTGTTAAATATATGTATAGGAGTGATATATTTTTTCTTGAGCTAGTCAAATAAGGAGAGGAAAGATTTAAACCAGAATTTACTGAGTTCTTTCACCACGGCTGCTCACCTTCTCACAAACACATTTCCTCAATGACAGAATCTGGCTCCTTAGTTTCATGAATATGCTTATGGCATTCCAGCTAAACTGACCACTTTCCAGTTTATCACCTTGAAAAAATGAAAATTGAAATAGTTAGTTTATATCTATGAAAAGGCACATGACTCAGCTGCACGATCAGCTTTCCTGAAGAAGGAGACATTTTAAATTCAGAAAGAAGGCACCAAATTGCTTTCAGAAATTTATCTGTAGACATTTTCATACTTATAATAAGCTGGAGTTTACTATGAACAACTTCATCTTTTCTCTGCTCCCTGAGTGCATGAGGAGCCTTTTGTCTGCAATTCTCATAGAAGTAATTTGGGCCGATGGCTCTCAGCGCTTCCCAGAATCACCCTCCAGTCCCAAGACCTTATCTACAAGTTGTAAGTTTTGGCTGAGGCATGTATGTGCCCACCAAGGACAGTGATCTGGTGTGGAACAATCAGGTTTCCCTAAACCTGTGGGAGAATAAGAATAATGGCTTTTGGGATTGCATCTAATATACATCTAGTGCAGATATTATTTCTAAATTCAAAAACAGCTCCACACAAATCCAAGATATAAGTTGTTTTGTTGAAATGCAAACCTGAATGACTGGTAAATCTTACTCTGTAATTTTTCCTTTGTTATAGGATTTTTTTTTTCCTCATTTGTATTTTACATCTTCTTGAGTCATTTGTACAAATTCAATACAAAATAAGTAACAGTAAGCTTTTAACTTAAAACCTTGCCAGGTGCCATATTTTATTATTTTCTTTTTATATGGATATTACCTATTCTTCTAACAATTTAACTAGGCATTCCATTAAATCTCTGTAATGCAATTAATGTAGATGGAAACAAATTTTCCATGAACATGGAAATACCACGTTCAGAATATTTAGTTTAAAACTGCCTGTAATTTGATGATAACATTGTTTACATTCATTCAGACCTGTGATTATATCCTTATTCAGTAGTTTTGTGGGTTTGAAAAAGTTGAGTCCCTTTTCTCCTTTTCAGCTTGTTTTCAGAATTTGAAAAACGGAGATACAAAGGGAGCTGTGGCAGCTGAATTCTCTTTCATGTGTGTCCAGTCCAGGTGAAGCCCAGCATAATGTACTGTAATATGTCTCTTCAATTCTCTGATACAATGACCTGTGCATCCTCTAAATCCCCCACAGAATGCGCAGACACAGACTGATTGAGGTGAGTATGGACTTAAGTATATATATTGTTCTTTGTAGCTCTGAGGAATTGGCACTTTTGCCAAATGTGAGATGATGTGGATTGTAATCTATTGAGATATGAGTTCAGACTGGGCCCTGTTATACATTGTAAGAATAACTAAAGATTTGCCTGGAGTAAGTTTTGTGGTGAGTTTTTGTTAGCCTTTTTCCTTTTCTTCCTCAAAACAAACAAACGAACAGAAAAAAAAAAAAACAACCCACCCCCTTTTTACAGTTTCTGACACTTTGCAGTTCCACTAGCAGCAGTAATCATGAAAGTGCCTTTGTGGAAAGAGCCTCTTGGTGGAGGCTGGGGTAACGTGGTACCAGAAATCCCAGCCCCTACCTCAGGCCTGTGGGTGCAACTGTAGAGAGAAACTGGTAAAAGGCCTGCACATGGGAACCATGGATTTTACACTCCTGATAGTGCAGACTTTGAAAAAAATGAATTCTGGCAAAGAAGAATGAATATTGAGCATAGATGCTCCCAAATCATAGCTCCTAGCTATTTCAACAAGATCACCTTTCTAATGTAATTGGATGAGAATTTTTTTTTTTTTTTTTGCCCTAATAGGAAAGGAGTAGGGCAGCAGTTTGTCTTATAGGTCTTGGTGACAAAAGAGTATTTTAAATGCTTGGTCTTTTGTTCCATAATGAGTGAGAAACAAGAGGTTTAACACTTTAACAGAGCTAGTAGTAATAGCAATTAAACAGCAATTTTATTAATCCCCCAACCTTTCTGTTGGAATCAAAAACTTAATCCTGGTCCTAAACTAATATGATTGTGTCGTGAATGTGTACCTCTCTCTGTCTCCTGTCAGGTGCACAGAACTCCCCTTGCTCCCCTTGTCTTGGCCCTCCTAAGGACCTCATTGCTGCCCCACCTCTGTGTCAGCCTCCTTCATAACATCCCTAACAGCTGACACCTGGAAGGTTTGTTCTGCTGCACTTGTTGCCAGTGGCAGCATTTCTGCCTCTCAGCTTCGCTGGTCCCGCAGCTCTGGGGCTGCCCTGCCTTTGGCTGTGCTTGGCTTGGCCTGGCCTGGGAGAGCCCCCCAGTTGTGCCCAGGTGCCACAAGGCTGGGAGGCTGATGCACCTGCTGCTTGCCTGCTCTCAGTGCTACAGTCATAACCACAGGCAAATATATCAGGGTTAAATGAATAAAATTATCACAGCAATTCCGTGGGTCAATAAAAGAAAGGATAGAGTTGAACACATGGCTCTCAGGAAAGTTTTGGGACAGGAAAATTTGTCTAGGATTGCGAAGGTTCCAAGAGATTCTTTCACTTATGAATTCTTACTTCAGTAAGATAATTTGGAATTTTCATACCTAACTGAATTTAAGTTTTACTAAATTCCAGATTTGTATCTTAAATATAAAAATCACAGCTTAAGAATTTAACATTTGGATTACTGTTTTTATATTAAAAAGTCAGAAAAAAAGAGATAGATTTACATGTATTTCCCACTAACATATTTTATTGAAAACAAATTCTTAAAATATTTTCAACTGCAACTTTTGCAATTTTAATCAACTTTAGTCAGGGTCATTCTGTAATCTAAATTTTTAGGCAAAATTATTTTTTTCATTCAGCACTTTAAATGGAAATCTAGAACACTTACATCTCAGCAGTAACCCAGAAGAGATTGCTTGTTGATGTTTGGGTTAACGGGAATAAAACATCCAGAATGTTTTGCCCTAATTGGCTGGGTTTGTACTAACACATGTGTGCTACAATGTTCTGAAATATCTTACCACAATTCTTAAATACATTTCAACAAATCTGTTTGAACTCCACATTTCTGCTGCAGGCAGAATAGTGGCTGTTGGTTTTGTGTTTGACTCTCAGCTCCTTGCCAGGCAGATTTCAGATTTTGGGAAGTGTCCTTCACGCCAATACCTCCCGCTCCCAGACCCAGCTTTGGGGACAGTGGGAAATTCTCTGTCAACACACGGACAACCAAGGTGCAGAACCCACTCCAGAAGGTTGAGGTGAGGACCTGCACCTGTAACAATAGCCCGTGTGCACTCATGTTGGTGTGCCAGGGTACCTTTGTCTGTGCGTGGCTTTCACTGGTTACTTTAATAGCTAGTACTGGTTTTCCAGAGAATGGTTTATTTTTATGCCCTTAGAACTTTTTTTTTAAGAGTTCAGGGATTGTGATGTAATGCAGGACTTTAAGTATGTGTTTCATTCAGCACCCAAAATTAAAGCTACTCACATGGCTTAATTCTCTTCCAGTCACAATCTTAGCCTTTTTGGAGTATGAAATTAATTCAAACAAAGCTGGAGAAACCTGAGTGAGAGGGACCTGTTTTGCACAGCCAGTGATGTCCTCAAGCTAAGTAGCTTGTATAGGTGCTTTTTCCTTATGTAGATATTTTTAAAGCAGAATCTGTTTTCCTTCTGGCAGAATCCAGTTAGCAACCAGTGTATTTACAGTTTCAGCTTGTGAGAAACAAGGCTTACATCTATTAAATTTGTATCTCTCTTTACTCATGTGGTTTCCCCTTGAAATCTAATGAAAACATCCTTTAAACTTTATTGTAAAGATTGAACTTTAATAGAGAGATACTGAATTTGGGTCTTCATGTAGCAGAACTCAACACCTGGAGAGTAACATCACCAAATGTTCACAAAATTGGTGAATATAAGAGCAGTAAAAACCATCAGTATTCAATTGAGCACAGTAGCACAGCATTGTCTAATGCAATAAGAAGCCAGTTGGGAAAATACATGTCCAATTTTTTGGTATTTGGAAACAGAAATGCAATGGTAAGAGCTGAGTTTCAAATGTCTTTCTCAGTTTAAGAAAAGGAATGATAAAACAGGGTTGAGAAATCTCCTGCTGACTTTCAAATGTAGGTGTACAGGGGAAATATATCTGCTTGACCAATGACCTTACCTCTCTATACACACCAAAAATTGATCCTGAGATATCAGCACATATTCCCAAATTTGTCGAAAACAATTTCTGGGGCTTATATTTTACTCTTAAGGAGATATTAAAAATGTATGTTCTAAGCACTTCTGTAGCACTCAACCAGGATGTTGTCAATGCCATCATTTCATGGCTTAGGCCAGTCTTGTATGACTTGTCAATATTCCTGCTTCAAAATCTCCTTCACTGAAAGTAGCTGCAGCTCTGGCAGGGTTAGTAAGGCTGGATGCCAATGCTGGGTGACAGGCAGTCAAATGTCAGAATAGCCCATAGCCACCACTGACTTCTATCAAGAGAAGATTGATGCCAGGTTGTAGCTGTGTTTTCCAGCTACCAAGAACTCCTCAATTAGTGAGCAAATTGCAATCTGGTAGAAAAGAAAAAGAGTCAAGTTAATGGATCCTTCTTTGTTAGACTACTGCTGTGTCTCCACTTCTGCTTCCTGCTAAAACACATGCTTGAAAATTGCAAGCCAACAAATACACACATTTCCTTAAAAGCTGAGCATATTTTGTGCTGTGAATAGAATAACAATTCCTCCTGCTTCCTGTCCCAACAGCCCCAAACAAACAAACTTTTTCTCCTCCTTCAGCAGCCTCTATTGGCACTTGTGAGGGGAAAAAAGTTTGTACAAAATCAGTCGTAGATTGCAAGAACATAGATATTTAACCTAAACCCCAAGTGTGAGATAACCCAACCCAGCTGCCAGCCAAGTGCTCCCTTTCCGAACCAAATGGCTGAATAAGATTGGTGAGAGGGGTTACAAACACATCGAGGATGAAGAAGTGATTGTGGGACTATAATGCCAGTATATAACTAGGAGAGAAAATCAAAAGCAATTATAAGATATCTAGAATATTGCTATCTTTTTAATAATATTTATTTAAGATAATTCTTTAAGAGTAGGCCAGCTGAAGCATAATCATCCTTACTATTCACCCTATGCAAGCAGGTGAGAAGGAGCAGCTCTGGTACTTTTCCAGAGTGTAAAATCTGTGCTTGGCTGTATCTTCTGCAGCACCTTCAGAGGAGTGTGTTGACCAACAGAAGTCAGATGAGATAGTTGTGGGTTCCCTCTCAGTCACCTCAGACTCAGTAGGTCAGCTGTGCAAAGCATTTACAAGCTTTCCTCCAACCTGCCAAACACCTGGATAGTAGAAAACCACAATAATAAAAAAATATATAAAGTAAAGCAAAAAAATTATTGAAAATGTGAACAAATAAATTATTGCATGTGAATAATTTGTCCCAAGGCACCTGCTAACATGGTGATTATTCTTCACCAATCATAGAGCACCTGAAGGCAACAGAGCTTTTTTTTCATATAGGCATAGCTTTTTTTTTTTGAACCTGCTTTTTTCTGCATTTATTTTAGAGATTAGGTCTCCTGTTCCCATTGTCCTTTTGTGTGTAGGCAGCTTGACCACCAGTGCCAACAGCTGCTGCTGCAGGGAGGCTTCCCAAGAAGAGCCAGAGGGGAGAGGTGGAGAGCTGTGGCTGAGGAATGGGGTTGGGGTCTGGGTAAAGCCCTTGCTGTGGGCAGGACTCAGAGGAGCGTTTCCCTGTAAAAGCCAAAGCTGGGCCACAGCACCAATTCAGGGCACGTGTCAGCAAATCAGGATGTGGCAAAACTGACCTCAGGGCCACTGAGATGTGGCCCAGACAGCAGTAAAGCAAATGCCATCTCAATCTTCCAGCGAATTCAACAGGCTGGATAAGTTTCATGGTCCAAACTTGATCCAGAGGTGGCCTAAACCATGATCTGCTTCAGGTTTTGTGAGATTCTCTGTAGCTGGGACACTCTGAGCATCTACAGAGGATTCTTTCAATAGACTGCTGCTTGTAGTTTTTCACTGGTTTGAAAGGCTCCAACAGAATGATGGAATTTTGGGCAGACTTCTGGCAAAATGTACATGTGTAAGAAAAGCGTAACTCCTTTGGGACTCTGCACGCTGCATATTGCCATGATCACTAGTGTGGGCTGCATCTGTGCAAGCTTGGATGCAGGAATTCACTATTTTATTATCTTATTGTTGTGTCTGGAAAACATTAACAGGTATTTCTTCTCCCAAGGACTGTATTTAGCACCAGAAACTCATTTTACCGCAGGAGAAGGGAACAGGTCAATTATTATACTCCCTGTGATAAGTAAACTGATTTTGTTTCATTTTTGGTTCCTAATATTGAAATCTGAGTAGTGCTCACATGTGTGAGAGCTTCCATAAAGACAAGGATACCTTACATATATACCTCACTGAATCCATTTCCCAAATTCCACCATATGTCATCTTTATTTCTTTTGCAAAAGTAATGGTTTTACTTAGATTTTACTGTCTCTTACTCCTGTACCAACACCATCACTTACAGTAAAGCTCAGTATTTGGATATACAAATTCTGATATGTAATGTGTGTTGAAGACACATTTTGAATAAAAGAAAAAGAGGTCAGCTAATCATTTAAGTCTCTTCATGACCACAGCACCTAAGTCTTCATTAAGGCAACAATTTGAAATGTGCTGTATATTTTTACTAGGTTTTCCTGATCATGAGGAAAATGTTGTACACCTTAGAAGTTAGTGAGCCTTTTCATTAGTAGCAATAAAGAAATTGCAACTATATAAATATATTTATGAAAAAACACACATAAAATTTTCCAGTGAAGTGAAGCAGAGTTGCACGACAAAGCAGAACTTTCTTATATCATTATATAAGAAAAGAATTTAAATTAGTAAAACTTGTTTAGACGCTTGGGTGACCTCTGCAAAAACCTGCCATTGCCACAAAACCCTCTAGCCTTGGCTGTTCCTAGGGAATGGGTGGTGCTGGAAGGTGCCACAGCGGCAGCGTTCCCCATCAGCCCCCTTGCCATCCGTCACTCAAAGCTCCTGCGTGGCTGGCTGTTGACGAGTGAACTGAGGAGAGATGAGATGCAAGTTACTGGTTTTACAAATGAAGAATGAAATTGGAGGCATTTCGCCCACTTTGCAATCAGCCATTATGTATATGCTTAGATTGGAAAACTAATCTGGTAGTTTTCACATCCAATCATATTAATGAAGTAGCAGAATTACTTGTGTGATTCTGTACTACAGTCAATTTAGTAAATAGATATGAAGGAGAATAAAATACGTAAATTTTTATAATACTCTTATAATTCTGTAGGAATTAAACCAGTAAAAAATGTAGATTGAACTTTGTTTTAATTGGTTTATGTTTAAAGATTCTTTGATCAGCGATAACAGTAATATGTATTAACATGTTGCATTTTAAAGTGACGCTGCCTTTCATTAATCAAGTGTCTGTATGGTTGATTAATTTGAACAAGGTTTAAATTGCTATGAAAATTTATCATTCATAGCCATGATCTCCATTTACATATATGTTAATTATTGTAAATGTAATCTTTTTCTGAATCCTCTGGGCTGCATACTAAAAAGACACAGTGATCACAGGGAGTGACTACTTTTCTATTACAAAGTGAACTCTTACAGTATTCAGTAAAGTCTGTTTCAGTTGTCAAAGACAGACTCAAAACATTAAAACATTTTATGCTAAAGGCAAGTTCAAATACTGTAGATGCTATTTCCTTTTCAAATTATTTCTTTATTCAATGGCTGGAACATTTAAGAAAATGAAACTAAGCGCTACCAGCCACTATAAAATTAAGTTCTGTCTCTATGGGCTTTTTTTCCTTGCTACTCTGAGACTTTCTCATAGTAGCTACATTATTAATAATCATGAGAGTGGGGTTTTCCATATGTCTTTTGAAAAGAGTGACTTGAAGAAGTTACTAAGCCAAAGGAACTCTTTGTAGAACAATTAGACTGAGTTAAATTGCATAAGACAGACATCACCAAGGTTTATAGTCTTTTAGCATGACATAGAAAAAAATCTCTTCACACTGGCTGTAAAATAGCTGTACCAGAGCTCCTCACACACACCACACTGATGCATGTGCTTAATGCAAATAAACACACTTGCTGCGCTCTCTTCAAACTCTCTGGCTCAAGGAGATGACAGTCATTTGTCTAAAACTTATTACATTTGACACAGTCAAGAATTTTATCAAGGTTTAAAGAGAGAAGGTGTTTCACAGAACATCTCCTGCAATATTACAGAGAAAAAATGCATTGGCAGGAAATGGATTTCAGATACAAAGCATAAAATAGTTCTCTTTCAACAAACAACTACTACAGCTTTTATTAAAAAATGCATATCAATAGAAACTAATTATTGCCCATTAAATTACACTCTGGGTGTATTGCTATTAATTCCTTTTTTGCATTCACAGAAACTGACATTAGCTTCTTTTTTTCTTCTTTTTTTTTTTTTTCTTGAAATATCCAGGCAGATTTTATTCAGAAATGACTTTAAAAATATCAGAATTGCAAGCAGTGATGTGACCAGACCCTGTTCCAGGAAATATTTCAGCATATGCTTATTTTCATCTTTGCTAAGACAGTATATCTTCACTTACTTATCTTTAGTGTATGGCCTGGTTTCTTCTTCCAGAGGGTGTTAAATTGTTCCTTACACTTTTTTTACTTGTTTCCAAACTGGTTTTGTTATTTTTAAATTTTTTTAAATGAATCTTTTATTACATAATTGAAAAAAGAACCACTCCTAGGTGGAAATAAAAATTTCCTTTATTTTCATTATTTTTTATAATTTTATGTTTAAATGGTTCATATTTACATAATATATGCACTGCAGGACCAGCCTCATTTCTCAGTCACAATTTAATGCAATTAAAATGTTTATGTGGAAGCCTTTGCAAGCATAGCACCTTTGTACTACCTGACTGAGCAGTTTTAAAGATACTTAATTTGCAGTTTTCTCTTAGACAGCTTGATAATGAAATATGTTTTTGTGTTTTGGGTTCTAAGTCTGTAAATGGATAAGATTGATGTGAAAATCACATAAATCTTTTGGCATAAGCACGCACACAGATTTTGGAGAGTTGCAGCCAATATCTAGAAGAAAGTATTCCTAAACACATATCTTAATGCAGAGTTTTGGTGTAAAATTTTACAAGATCTGAATGGTTTGCTGAATTCTGAGCTGAAAAAGGTCACTTTTTCCCTCCCCCATAGTCATGGTGGCTATCCTGTCATTGTATCTTTTGGGACAAATTATTTGAAATTCATGGTTATCTGAATTGCTTTTTTCTCCCATAAGTCTGAAATATGCGCAGTATTCACATTTTGAAGAGATTTTGATGCTGCTGGATGGAGCTGTGTGTCTGCAATGGTACCCTGGGTGTTGGTACACTAATAGGGGATACACAGTTTGTACACAGATAGAAACACACACACACACATATATATATATATATAGCAGCTGCTATATATAAGTCTGGGAAGAAGCATAAAGCAGGGTTTGTTCACAGTACAGGAATAGGGATGCACACAAGCAAACAGTTCCGCAAGTGAAGAAGAGAAGATTACCTTTCCATAAGGCATGTTATCACAACTCATGGCTGTGGAATGTACAGAGGCCAAAATTACAAGGGATTTAAAGAAAATTACATTAATTCATAGAAGAAAAGACAAAATCTTAGAAGTTGTTCGAAATATTTCTAGGATTTTTGGTTTAGCAAGCCTTTGAATAGTTGTTGGGGGCTGGAAGGATATGCCAGCTTGCTGAGCAAACTAAACCATTGGGTCTCTGCAGTTGTTAGATTTGAATTTTATTTATATATTTACTAAATGAAGAATTTGGTTTGTGTTTGTTTGTTTAAATCACTTATGATCAAATGTGATATTTGGGAAATTTTATTCAAACAAATATACTTCTTCCTAGAAAACAATTTTTTTTTTCAGCTGAAAGTTTCTAAAATATGGGAGTAAAATATTAGTGTCTTCAAGCCTGTTCAACAGGCTTGAAAATCTTTGGATCGTTTTGTAGAAGCCCTGTGAATTGAGAATAAATTTAAGCAGAGGCTTACAATAAAGTACCAATTTTACTTGTAGTAATGTCTGACTCTCAATTTTGCTGACATGTATGTGTGTTTGTGTCTGTGTATTTCAGAGGATACACTGTACGCTTTGGTTGATAAATCTGTAGTCAACTCAAAGGATATAAAAACACTCAGCATGTTTTAAATAGATGTACATGAAAACCAAGGTCTGAATTATTTTTTGTGGAATAAGTCTGGGTTTTAGTTTATAGAGGTGGTGGGACAGTGATATTGACTTACATAGTTAAGCAAATGATTCAATTTCAAAGCCTGTATATGATTTTTTTTTATCCTGCAGACAGAAGCTGATGGAAGCATCCAGGTGATTTCTGAGTTTAAGGTAAACAAGCCCAAAACAATTTTGATATTTAGGATAATTTGTGGATGTCTGTTTGGAGCCTAATATAGTCTCATAGCAAGGGGGGGTACGAAGCAAAAATGAGTATGCAGTTCAGCTGTGCATGTATTCTGTCACAAAATATTTCTTCAGTTAAAATACAGTCAACTTACAATTTTCTGTACCTGCATTGCATAGTTTTCATCCACAGCAGCCCCAATAACTTAGTCCAGACTGTGATCCATGACAGAAGCTGCCATTTGAAGAGGATTGGTATATTGGAGGTGGACTTGTGGAAAACTGAGCCTTAACAAAGGTGAAGGCGACCCCATCAAGTTTTTTTTTTGCTTTCTGTGCTAGAGAAGGAGAAGTTACTGGAAGGAGGAAAAAAAGAAATTATGTGAGGGATTAGGACATCTGCAGCATCCTTTTTAATGAAAAGAAGCAGGGTAGGTCACACGTGCCTCTACCAGAGAAAGGCAAGGAGTAAGATGAAGTTTTACATGCATTGCTAAATACATGGGGACAAAGCACCATATGAAAGAGGCAATACATAAAAGGAACCTGTCAGACCTCATGGTAGCCTCAGTGAAGAAGTGTTGGTGTGAGCTGGTGCCCACCTAATTGGTGTGAGTGGCAGATAACCCTGGGAACTAGAGCATCTGAGGAAAAACAGATTATTTATGGGAGCAGGTTAAAATTTACCATGTAGGGCTGCATCAGGCTGCAGTTCCATGCCTGCTTTACCACTTCCAAAGCCCTTCCTGCAGCTGTGTGCTTCACCTTTCCCCAGTGCTGAACTAGCAAGACTGGAGCTGTGGGAGGAGAGGAGGGAGAGGACAGTGCTGAAATCGGAGGGGCCAGTAAACACCTGAGCGGCTGGAATGTGCTCTCTTGGCTGGAGAACAAGCATGGCAAGCAAGGAGGTATGTTCATCTCCTCAACCCATTGGTTCTATATCTCCTGGCGCCTCCAATGTACTTTGAATGTACTTTGAATGTACTTACTTGAAAAATACTGTGCTGAAACAGTTACTATGTTAAAAGTGGGGTTTTTTCTAGTTTTCTGTTTTTAAGATAGAATCTACTTTAGCTCATATAAGAATTTGGGCCTTGTTTTAAAATCTAAATGCAATAAACCTAATTAATCTGTTTATGTATATCCCTATGAAATGGGGAAAAAAAGAAAAAAAAATCCATCATCTGGATTCTAGGTAATCCATGTAACATTTAAAGATAAATTACTTTCAAGACCATTTCTTTTGTTTAATAGAAAAGGATGCTGCTTTCTGTGATTTAATCTGAATAAACATCTCCATTGTTTCTGTCAGCTAATGATCACTTCCAACATTTTCTTGACCAATTTGTTTTCCCAAAGGGAAAAATAAAAAAATATTTAGCAACAGAAATCAGCAGAGGGTTTACCTATTTCACCTCTTTAAAGCCTAATTTCTCCTGTTGAAGGGTAATAGTCTCAGATTTCTAATACAACCCAAAAATTGGATTGCTTTGGCCTTGTCCCAGACTCTGAGAGAGTTTCACCTGAGCTCGAGTGCACCCATGCTGCTGCCCATGCACCGCATTTGGCTGCGGGAGGGTGCGGTTCTGCCACGCTGGGCAGCTGCACAATTGGGCCCTCACAAGAGAAATGACTCTGGTGGGCAGCCAGGAAGAGCAAACACCGGGAGCTGCAGCTCCAGCCCCACGGTGACACAGTGCTCAGCCCTGCTCTGGTCGCTCAGTGCTGTGTGGGAGCCTCCAATGCCCCCAGCGCTCCGAGGGATGGAGCAGAGCAGGCCGGGCATGCACCAACACCAAAACAAAGCCAGCCTGGGCCAGCTGCAGGCCAGATCACCTGGAGAGTGTCCTTTCAATAAGGACTCGCAAGCTTTCAGATTTTTATTCAGATTATTTGCACTTGCAGGCAGTAATAAGAGAATTAGTTTTGTCTTCTGCTGGTATTTAATTTTTTCCTATATACCCACATTTTCCAAGAAGATTCCCTTTCCCTCCCAAATAATAATAAAATCTCAGTACATTGTTCAACCCTACTTTACATATTTTTCTCTTCTAGGACATCTGTACTCTGCATACTTTTGCATTCTCCCCTCACCCTTTTCTTCTCAGCTGCTCCATGTTTTTATGTCTCTCAGGAGGGGTTAATTCTTTACAGCTGCGTCCTGCTTGCCAGGAGTCTCACATGTGCAAATTATTAATCTTTTCTATTGCTACAGTAACTCCCAAGGCTTTAAACACCCCCTACCTAAAACTGGCCCTTTTCCAAAAAAACTTTTCATATTCCCTCACTGAAAGATAATTTGGTCCCCTGCAGGGTTTGCACTGTTATTTAGCACAATTGCCTAAGTAGAGTCCCTTATTTCCACATAATAATTTACAAATTGGAATTTAATTTAAAAATTTAAACTCCAGAGTATTAAATTTCTCTAGTTGTTGTACAATCGATTTTTTAGTTTGTTTGGGGTTTTGTTTATTTTGGTTTTTTTTTAGAAAATGAGATTGTTTTATTCTGTTTTGCTTTTAACCTTCAGTTTTGAATAAATGTCTGTAGTTTAGTGATTGTAATGATAATGATCTGATATGCAATTTGTAATGTCAACTGGTGCAGATAGGCTTGCTTTCCATGAAACACAGAAGCTGGTTCTTAAATATGGAATGACTTAGCTGACTAAGCACAGAATGTTCTAAATTTTTATTTAATAAGAGGTCTGGTTATTAACATCTGTTTGGCCCACTTATGTTTTCAATTTGTGATATTAATTCGATGCAGTTGCCCCATGGTTTATATCAGCAATAAGACAGGGACATATAAATGCAGATATTGTGTGTTTCTCACCAGATACAGGTCTATGCACAAATAGAAATCCACGGGTTGTGTGCACACATCTCTGTGTCTACAGGCGTACACACACATTGTTTTGGCCTGGGATGACTGATGAGCTGGCATTTTTTTCTACCCTCTGTCTTTCTCTTTCTGATGTGTTCTCCTGATTTCATATTTATTTCTCAGCTATTGATTGGATATCATTATGACACTTCCAAGCTTCCAAATAAATAATTTATTTTGAAAGTTAGGTATGTCATAATAAAGCATTAAGACACTCCAGGCAGTGTATTTCTGGTTGATTATATACCTCCAGTGGTATTATAAGGCACAGGCAGAGGACTGAATGATTTTAAACACCTGACAAGTGCAATAATCCCCAAGAAGTGCATGGCCTGGAGCATCTTAGTGCTGTTATGAAACAGAATTTATAAATAAAAATAAGAAGAACAGCCAAACCTATTTATTTGTGGGGCATGACGACTCTAGAATGTCATCACTAAGGACCAATCACTAACTTTGGTTTGCACTGATTAATGTAGCATTCATTTCCTAGCATGAACAATAAACCCAAATATTCCTAAGAAAACATTAAACAGCTTTGAGTTTAATGTGTGCAAAGGAAATGTAAAGGTGGTTTAGTTGCAAGGCAGACACATGATCTGTTTAATATATACAGAAGGCCTCCCTGCAGGCCAATTAAAAAACCTTCCAAACAATGCTGACTATTAATTCACACAGTATTTATAACTCAAGTGAGTTAAATTTTAGCATCTCAGTGAAGAGCTCTGTAAGGAGGAGAAATAGATTTCATTAGGACAATAACCAGATATGAATTGTGTTTTGTTCTGTGAAGTAAATTTTAAACAAACCTTTTAACAGCAAAATAATCTACTGTTTGTAGATTATTTTCTCATTAGGAATAAAAATCCTGATAAAGAAGTCTACTTCTGAAAACCTAATACATGTAGCTTATAAAACTGAAACTCTAAGAAGATGCTGGAGAATGTAGTGGTATCATCAAAGCTGTAGTTGAACAAATACTATCATAAAGAGCAGTTATAAAGAAGTGTTTTGTTTTGTTTGTTTTTCTGTTGCACTTATAAAAATAGAGCTTCAGAAATGTCATAGTTAACACATTTAACTGCTGGACATTGAAAACCTTCCTTGTGATTCACGGCCTGAGACTCAGTGTAATCAAGGGCTCTTCTATTCTTGTGCATAAGCACAAGCTGGAGTAACTTTCCTCTTTAACTCTGTAGCAGGGGAAATATGCTCAGGTAAAGGGGATCACCCTTAAAATAACAGGGGAGGTCTGTGATAGAGGTGAAAGCAGGGAAAATGTTCTGTGCTTCTGTGTGGCAAATAACTTATATCTTGAAGAAAGAGAAATATTTTTGCATTATTTTACCCTGCTCAGCACTGGAGCTTCATTGTCTTATGGAGATCACAGAATCATTAGGGTTGGAAAAGATCCCTAAGGTTGTCAATGCCAACCATTAGCCCAGCCACCACCATGTTCCCTGCTAAACCACATCCCCAGGGCCACATCCACATTCCTCTTGCGCACTTCCAGGGGTGTGAGGTTGTTTTGTCACGTTTACCTGTTGAACAGGTACTGGGAGGGGATGCAGGCGGCTGCTTCTGCCCAGCACTGGGGTTTGCCTCGTCCTGTGCAGGGTCACTGTGGGTGTGGTGGCGTTGTCCTCCTGGGTTAGTGTCTCCCACCCCACAGACACACATGTGCACACCATTTCCTTAGCTTTTTCCAGCCCATAAGATCCAATTAATTGCTTCACATGCTACATTCTTCATAATGAGAGTGGGCCACAAGGACAGTATGCTGGTAAGCTTTTCTGTTCTGAAAGGAAAGTCCATCACTCCCGCAGTGTACCAGTTCAGTGCTGTGAAATAATCCCTGGCTCTTGTTCTACCCTTCCCTTGGGGTATCTGCTCCACTGAATGACCCCATCATGCTCGGTGCATTGAGATTTTGAAACTAGCTGCTAACTACTGTGGATGCATTTCCTGACCTTACTGGTGGGAATTGAACCAAAGTCTCTCAAGTGCTGTAGGATCTAATTAATATGCATCTTATTCCAGGAAAGACTCATTACTTTATAGATATTTATATAAGGGGTATGTCTGCTATAATGGTTAATAACTATGAATAAAGTTTCATTTCTGATAGAGGAATAAAGCTTTTGTTTAGATATGGATTTTTAGTTTTATTAAAAAAATTAGAAAGTATGAATATGATAATCGGGTGAGAGTTCCAAATGGTCACACAAAGTTTTTATTCTTGCCTTTACTACTAGCCGCTATCAACTCTCCTTCCTCACCTAAAATTTAAACAAGAGGTAGGGAAGAACTAATTTAAAAATTAATTCAAAGCATTAGCAAAGGATCCAGAGGGTCTGTGCTGGATATGGAAAACTTGTAGAGTATGAGAAAGTGAAGTGAGTTTTGGGTGACAAGGTATTGAAATAATAAGTGTAAGTAAAGTCCTGTCCTTTCTAAACTGAGAAAGGGCATACCATAGTAACAAAGGCTGCCTATGGATCTGGTCTCCCCTCACGTTTGGGAAGTACAAGGGTTTATTTAGAACCTTTGTAAAGCTACTCTGACATACAGCTTTTATGGTAGCTAAAATTTTTGGCAACACTATAAAGCCTTTGCTCCCCAAAGGAATTAGCCAGTGCTGCAGAGGGGATGAACTCCAGTGGCTGGGCAGACCAGGCACCTCTATTTACTCTCTCTCAGGCTCAACAGGTAGAAATGACAAAATAACCTCAATGCTTCAAAATCACATGATTTCAAAGCAAATTTGGAAAACTTGGAGTCTCAAAATTTTTGGACAACCAAACTTTAATGCTTAGTTATGCTGCACATAATGATTCAGTCATATTGTCAAACCAGAGGAACTGGAATACTGTAAGTGATTGAATGTGTTTTCATAGTAACATTTTACCATGGGTATAACTTAACTGTATTTTAACATGCATATGACTTAAGGTTTCCGTGAAGTTCAGCTCTACTGAACTACCTCTATAGAAAATAGTAAGAATCAGAGACAGTGGAAATATGGGGTGCAGTCCTGCAGTGCTTGTCACCTTGGGACAGGGGTGACAGTACCAGCAGTTTCATTCTGCTGCAATTGCAGGGATTTGTTAATCACTGTATAAAAGTTACCTTTTTGGCCACTTCAGAAAGCAGTGATAATTCTTTCCTCTCATTCCACAGTCCACAGGAACAGAAGTCCCAGGGAGTCCTGGGCAGTTTTTTTGCCATCTTTATCCTGTGGAGAATCACAGCACACATGCAAAGATGATGTGTGAATTCATGAGGGACTCCATGGCATCTGTGAACATCTGTGTCAAGGTATGTTAATTTTTAAATGGCAATTGCTCTATCACTCAACAGCCCTTAGATTTATGCAAAGGAGGGAGTGCTTAGGAAGAGGAAAAGCCAGGGAAATAAATGAATGTTTAAGGGAGATTTGTATTTAAAAAAAAAAAAAGTGTATTTTACAAAATAATAATCCTTGGAGTAACATGACATTCTTGCAATGCATGGTTTCATAAGTAAGGGAAGTTCGAAACTTGGTTTTCTAGGTAGCTGTTGGTTTTGTACTTTGGAAGTGAGCCTTGGAGCACTGTAACTGTGTGTTTGCTCCAAGCCAGCAGTGCTGCTTTTTTGACAAACTGTGGCAATGGCAAATTCACATTCTGAAGATGATTGTCCCAGAGATTCTTTGGCTTTTACTGAGAGATGCCACCCTGGGCTGCTGAACACTTTCTCTTTTTCATGGTCTCCTGTTCTTGTTTGGCCTTGTTCCACGTGGTAATCTGTGTCAGTTCCAGTCTGTGCTGAGACCTTTTCCTACCTCTGTTCATGCTAATCCACAGCAACAAGAGTAGATGGGAATGAGCCTGCTCACTCGTGACCAACTGCACAGGGCTGCAGTTCTGGGTTACCCCTCCTCTACTCACCCCAGTCCACACACATGCTCACAGGCACATGCTTGTATTTCTGTGGCACACCCAATGGGAGCTTGTTGAGGCTCACTTAGGAAGCATCACAGGGTTGAATGGACAGATATCACAGCAGAGCTACCTGGTTTATAGCTTTATGTAATCTGAGCTCAGCTATTGGAAATCCATAGCTGCATGCTGTGAGGTAAAGCCAGCAGCATAAGAACACAGGAATGGTCCCGCTGCATTGGGTTAAGGTTCGTCCAGTCCAGCGTCCTACTTCTGACAGTGGATGTCCAGTCAGACAAAGGCAGCATGTTGCTGCCTCTTCCACTCTCCACTTCCAACAGTTTTCAGCTCAGGATATTCCCTGAGCTGGATGTTTCTTGCAGTAAACTCCACAGAATTCTGTGTGTGCTGTCCCAACCCTCCCTTGTGATCTCTGCAGTGAGTTACACAAGTTTGCTCACTCATGCTCAAACTTTCGTTCTTGAACTGGATTTTGTTTGTTGCTGCCTACATTTCTGAGAATTGGTGGTGCTATGGGAAACCCTTTCACTCTTTCCTGAATGCTCATGGAGGGACTTGAGCATTCATTCTTAGTTTGCTTTTTCAAGCTGAGGAGTCCTTGTATACCCAGTCCTTTGCACTGATATACAATGTCCTTACTTTTTTCATTTAACCATATCCTCCTGAAGAGAGACTAGAACTGCAGAAATATTAAAAATGCAAGTGAGTCATAGGTTTATTCAAAGGCAGTGTTTGCTTCTGTTTTATTTCTATTCATTCCTAAAAATTCTTAACAGTTTATTTGCTGCTTTGACTGATAATGAGCACTGACCTAATTCTTTCTTGGATCTATAGTATTTTCTACCGTTGAATCACAATTGTCAGTTCAGAACCTATTTGCACATATTTGGAGTTTAGAGTTTTTCCAGTGTGTGTAGCATTCCTTTATTCATAGGGAAATTCATCAGCCATGACATGGACCAGGCATGCAGCCTCGTAGGGTCCCTCCCTGCAATTCCTGGCAGTCAGTCATTGTCCTCTATACCCTATATTTTGTAAATGCAGAACTGTGTTTTGCCTTGATGTAGGTAGTATAGAAGATAAGAAAATCTGTTGCTCTTGTCTACAACCCCTTCTTCCTAGATGTCAAATCATGTTCAGCCAGGGTAGTTACAGCCTGCTCTTTACAAGTGAGAAACTGCAGGATGGGATTTGCCATATTCAATTATTTATTGAGTGAGAGATCTTTCTGTGGTCAGTCAGTAGCTATGCATAGGCCGGGTGTCATCTGGCATTTACATTGCAGGATTATGTGTTTGTTTTTAAAGCAAATCTTGGGTATTTTAAAGATGAAAGTACTGTTTCAGCCTCTTCTCTGACACTTATTTCTAGCATTTCCATTCATTTTAGCTACTTGGAGATGACATCACTTGTTTAACAATAACAAATTGGAGACCATCCTGGGAGTATAACAAATCTATGGAAAGGAGGGGGAATTTCACCCCTAGGTGTTCAAAGTTGATTAGATCTCATTACAGAGTGCCTTAAGTGAAATGGTTTGGAGCTTTGCATTTCTCAGTCTTCAACAGCCTGAAATTTTTGTGTCATAAAACCCACTAGATTTGTGTAGGGACTAATACTCCCTCTACAGAGAGTGAAGCCTTAAAGGGACATTATGTTTGAATTATCTTTCCATCCCTAGTGCTGGTTGTCAGCACTTATATGCTGTAGTGTGGCTTGCTTTCCCTCATCATCCCTTTTTTACAAGAATCCATAGAGGACTTCAGTTTTGGCACCTTTTGCTTGGTACTAAATTCACCTTTAAAAACCATGTCTACACATTATGGGTTCTATTCATGAATGACTAACACCTCATTTGCACTTGAATTTCATTCAGGTTAAATGGAAACACTGTGCAATGCTGTGGAATTTACACAAATTTTATATCCTTGAATACAGATTGCTGGTAATGAAACTGACACTTTGTTGTGCATATTAAAGATGCCCAGAAGCCAAAAGAGGATGGAGAATAGGAGAAAATGCGATCAGATCTGGCCTGAATGAGCAAAGTGCTCTTACAGAGGAGTGGGAAAAGGAAGGAGGAAATCAAAACAATTCTGCAATGAATAGGTGTCCCCTACAGCTCAGGCCTGGGAGCAAATAAAGCTTGGGCTTTTGATGCTGACTGTGTCTGCTTGGACACCTGAGGTTTTCACCCATCTGGGTGCTTGCATTTGTCACTAGGTGGGAATCTGTACTCATCTAAACTAAGTTTCCCACTTCTCATTTGAATTTGGTCTCCCTAGGTGATTGCTGAAGGTGTTTTCCCCTGCCAAGCTTTGTTTGTATCTAAATGTTTTGGGGGGTGTCAGGGGAGGAGAATTCATGAGCATGGAATTTGGAATTTGACTCAAAACCTGCTTTTCTTTCTTGTCCTTTGTGCATTTGGACCACTATGACTTTTCTGCTGAAAATATTAAGCAGAGAGGGCCACTGAATGATCTTTCTTTCATAAGATTTGTCTTCTTTTCCCTTGGCTCATATGATGCCAAGCCCAGTGGCTCACCTGTCTGACATGCACCCACATGTGTGACAGGAATATGAAGACTAATTACTACACAATCCTGTTCTGAAATTTATTCAGAGTAGCAACCAGATGCATGTGATCTGGAGGAAATTACTGCACAACATCCTGTGAGCCAGCCTTATCACAGCCCCCAGAACCCTCTGTGAAAGCTTTTGTCAATAGCCTGTAGGAGGTAAAAGCCTAGTTGCTTGCAAGAATTTCTAAGGTCAGTAGAGATTCTGTGCTCAAGCTACAGAACCTCTGTCTAATGGTGTTACCAAGCAAGTTAAATTTTTAAGAAGAGATCTGAGCAGCAGCAAGGGATGATGTTGGGAAAAATTCTTTTAACTTTAGCTCAATAGTGTATGATCCCTATATCCACAGTCAGTGCTTAGTTTTGTGCCATGCAGTGTTTATTACAAACAAACCTGAGATTTATGTGGCCTTGTTTTAACTCCCTGCATCTAAGACTAATAAGTTTTGTGCCAGCTAACACTTCCTTATTTACTAATTTTAGTGATTAATATGTACTGGCAGATATCTTTTGTTTTGAGAATGAAAATTGTGTGTCAGAGCAAAGAATGATAAGAGAAGTACATTATGACCTGACCACATATTTGAGGTACTCTCAAGGAGAAAAGACTCATCAGAAGATCCAGAACCATTCCAGGATAAATCCATGGAAACATTTAGCATGAGTGCATTATTCAGGAATTGTGATGAATATGTATCAGTTTGAGGAATATAACCTGGTCTTTTAGGCTACTGGGCATGCATGCTTTAAGAAGAATTCTCCGTGCATCCAGTGCTGCTAATAAAGTAATGTCAACTTTCTGACCCAGCAAATTGCTTGGAGGGCTTATTTCACTGTTTTCAGTGACAGTGGCATCTGCCTATGTGTCCAAATGTAATTTTGGGTAACAGCAGCCTTCAGGTGCACTTTCCCTACACAATAGAGATCTTGGCTAAAAATTCAGAAGTTTTCTGCTACTGATTGTTAAGCTTTTCTGGTGATTGTAAGTATCTAAAATAACTCTTAACCACTGGAAAGAGCTGGTGACTGCTCATTATTGTTCAAACTGAACTTCCTTGCACCACATAGAAGTTTTCTCATCTCAGAAACTAGTGCAAAGTTTGTCTTCACAGGCACAAATATTAATTAACAAAAGAGAAATCAGGGGAATGTTTAAAAATCTTTTTATTCCCTTGAATACTTATGCCTTCTCTTAAGTCTACACTAGGTCTTTTTTCCATGATACACAATACATCCAATTTTCTCTCCTCACTGGTTAACACATGTGAGAATTATTGTGTGGGAAGGAAAAAAATCTGCTATTTGAATACCAAGTCACAGTAGACAAAATCTGCACTCTGAGTATCTACTCAGGGGACAGGTACTTTCTCCACCTTTCAGAGGTCAGCAATCAACGGTGCAAGTTTTAGGACTATAAATGATTTTGTATAAGAAATCTTCCTTTATTATTATTTTCTTTTTGTTTCAATTTCCCTGCAGAAATTGATCTGGGTTGCAATTTTAATTTCAGCAGGGCTGCTTGGAAAAGCAAATCTGAAAAAGAGGCTCATAGACTGCATATCATTATTACAAATTCATATTTGGGGTTCGGAATTCTGGCTTCTGCAGACTGCAGAACTGGTATTGCTAGCTGCAATAATACCAAAGTGAGTTGCAGCCTGTGGAGGTAACATGTCAGACATGTAATCCTGTTCTTCATTTAAAGTTTCTTTCTTCAGGAATATTAAATAAATAGACTATAAACTGTTGAAATTGCCATGCACACTTGGCAGCACCCTGTATGCAAAACAAGCACTGA